AAAAAAGAAAGACAGTATAACATGCTGAAAGAAGAGTATAATGTGCTATAAAGAGTAGTATAACAGAGTATAAAAACAATATAACTTTGCTGGGAAAATAAAATACTGTAATATAAATTAAACCTGTACACCTGGTAGGTTCATTGCTCCTTTAAGTTTAGCTATTATGCGCTGTGTAAAAGATGAAAGTATGACCTGAAAAAGACTTGAGAAAAATAGGTAAATCATAGGAAAAATGATAAATAAATAAAATAAAATATAATATCACATATAAAGGACCAAGAATAGAAATTTTATATGTGATATTGGAATGTCCCCAATTGCTAAGAGGATTTGAGTGTAAGACAAATTCAATTCCCAGAGCATTGAGTTTCAGCTTTGGTCAAATTCAGATAAGAATTTCATTATTTGATCTAATTAAATTTGTCATGAATCACAATTCGAGTGCACCCTCGTTCTTAGTGTCCTTATTATTTCATGAAATGTGGTCAGGTGTGTAGCTTCTTGGGATCATTTGAAAATTAGGATGATGAACTCTCTCAAGGTGTGCTCCTAAGATCTAGGAAGCTTACACTTTAGTTTAAATTTGAAGTGTCTTAAAGTGTCTATTTTCAACTAAGTATCTTTCAACAACCCTCAAACATCTTTATATTAAGCTTAACTCACCATCGGGCTTCTAAAACTTAGAGGTGAACTTATAGTTTTGACAAAAGATTTGTGAAGTGTGATTCAAATCTAATTAGAATAATTGGGTGTAGGTTTATTCCAAACTTAAAGGACCTAAGTGCAGGTCTATTAATTTTTCCAATCTATATCCTTAATTGTTATCTAAACTCTCACTTTCTTCCAACCCCTAAATATTCTTCCAATTTACAGTTTCATCTTTCATATGCAAAGGGGATGGTGGATGGTTCGCTATTCTATCCCTCTTTAGGTTTCATCATCTCGAGAATCCAAATCTTACTTTTAATTTTCTCTCCCTTTCTCTTTCCCTTAAGACTGTGAATCATTTCTGAATATAATTGAATCGGAAATTCTCATTTTTAACTTGACCGTTAAAAAAAATAAAATAAAATAAATGAAAACGAGACCGATCCATTTTTAAAACCAAGCCAAATCAATGAAGCTTAAAATAAAATCATGAATGTATCGGTCTAAAACGTTTAAATTCGTTAAAAAAAATGATCGGATCAATCCCGAGAAGGATATCCTTTCCAAGTGGCAATTTTATGGATTTCCAAACCCCTAATGAATTCAATTTACATCAACCCCATATTTTCTCCAAATAAAATTGTATAATCTTTTTTATTTCACAAAAGAAAAGTCACTAATTAATAGGAGAAATAACTTCCTAACCTTATAGAAAACCATACCAATGTCAAAACGATTTAATTTCATACTCCATCAAAAGTTTACAATGAAATATATATCCAATATCTCACAAAAGAAGCCAAATGTATCTTTCGGTCTTTCGGGAAGGGCCAAAACGTGACCACTAGATAGGCCAAAAAAGAACACATATTCCATCATAGTTTCACTTCAAAAAGAGTCAAACCGAAACCACTAGGTGGGCCAAAACAAAGAGTATATATATATATATTTTTTATTCCAGCATAGCCAAAACCGGGACCAAAATAAGAGGCAACAAGGGAGGCAAGAAATGAGCCTCAAACATAATTTTCCAACTTATAAAACGATTTTAGCATATGTTCCAACAACGGGGGAAGTAAATGAAGCAAAGATAGGCCCCAAACATAATTTTTCTAACATATAAAACAATTTCAACATGTATTCCAACAACTGGGGGAATAAAGGAAGCAAGATAAGCCCCAAATGTAACTTTCCAACACACAAAACGAATTCAGCATGTGTTCCAGCAACGGGGGCAGCCAAAAGAAGCAAAGGTAAGCCCCTAATATAATTTCCAGCAGTCCAATTTATCGTCGGAGGTCATCCGGAGAAGTTCGCATTTTCATCCGTCCTCTGAGCTTAATTGAAGTCCGATTTCGTGCAATTTTGTGAATTTTGTGCATTTAGTGTGTGTATGTAACGAAAAGGTCGTGACGATGTTTTCCTAAGGCTTGGAGTCCTATTAGGAACTTTTCCTTTGAGTTTTCACAAAATAGCCCATAACCGCTCGTTCATAAGACGATGGTCTTATGCCAAAAATACTAGACATCAAAGGAAAATAAGAAGTGTCTAGAATTTCTAAAAGGGTGGATCATAATTCTAGTTTTCTAAGACGATCAATAGGAACTTCTAGAGCTCTAACATGTATTCATGCTTAAATTTCAATCTAAACAAAATTATGTTTTCCCTATTCCATGTCATCCGAAGTAGTGCAATATAGAAGATAGGAAGAAGAATACCTTTTCCTTTTTGTAAACTTAAAGCAAACAAAGAGTAAAGTAGGCTTGAGAAAATCACTCCAATAGCAACCCACAAAAATTCCTCACGATTTCCAGCTTACGGCACGACAAATTCGAGTCTCCGGGATCTTCGAACAGCAAAGGAACAAAGCTTCCTCTCCAACAAGGAAAACATAAAAGAAATCATTCTAATCGAATGAAGAATAGAGGTAGAAAAGCATCCAAATCTCCCTAAAATCTTTCAGGAACTCTCTCAAAATTTTCAACAACCATCGACAGTAGTTTAGGAAGTTATTTTATAGGCAGAGAAGAGGAGAAGAAACAATTTACCAGTCATCCTAGCCAACGAATCACAAAGAGGAAATGAAACTACACCATAAAGAGGAGAGCGTTCAGCCTCGAGGAAGAGAAGCGTCGGCCAGGTGGAACTTCATAGTTGGAGGGCTGCTCGGGCAAGGAGCTCGAGGAGGCGAGCCGCGATCGCTGGGGAAGAAGATTGTCGCGTGGTGGATCTGTCGTGGAGCTAGGGCACGGGCGAGGAGCAGTCGCGGGATCGAGCCGCTCGCGTGCGGGTGGAGCTCGTGCGGGTGGAGCTGTAAATAAGGTTTAGGGTCTTAATTTTAATAATATAAGTGATAACATATAAAAATAATTTAGTATTTCTTAAAAATAAAATTTAATTCAAACTTTTCAGTCGTGCATCAAAACATAACGAAAATAGATGTCTATTTTAGGTAATTCTGATGTTCTGGACGTGCTGACACGGTCCGTTTTGTCGTAGGAGGTCATTTTGACAAATTCATCGATTTGCGTGTTAATTTTCTTGTGTCGAAAATATGACAATATGGGTGTTCTTTCCTACCAAAGTTGGTATGCCGGACGCGTTGGCGCAGTCCATTTTGTCGTCGAAGGTCATCCGGAGAAGTTCGCATTTTCACCCGTCGTCTAGGCTTAATTGAAATCCGATTTCATGCAATTTTGTGAACTTTGTCTATTCGGTGTGTGTATGTGACGAAAAAGTCGTGACAATGTTTTCCTAAGGTTTAAAGTCCTATTATGAACTTTTCCCTTGAGTCTTCGCAAAATAGTCAATAACCGCTCATTCATAAGACAATGGTTTTGTGCCAAAATTGCTAGACATCAAAGGAAAATAAGAATTGGCTAGAATTTTCTAAAAGTGTGGGTATCAATTCTAATCTTCTAAAAAGATCAATAAAAACTCCTAGAACTAGATCCTAGGCTCTAAGGAGGAGAAGAGAAGACCTCACAAAAACGAGGTCAACAAATGGACCCCCAATAGGTGTGCTGTGCGGAATAGGCACGCCGCGCGTATTGGTGTTGACCGAAGCGACCAACAAACCAAAGAATTGTTTAAGAAAATGTCGAATTTGATATGAAATTGAATTTGAGTTGGGTTCCTAATCGGGAACTCAGCTCGAGAAAGATTTTGTGAATGAATGAGTTGAGAGCGAAAAGATTTATCACAAGTTCTTATCACAAGTTTGCAGCATTTGATTTAATCGAGTGAAAAGATTAACTTAAGACCACCAACAAGGGGTTTACGCTAAAAGAGGGCCACTAAAAAGGAGTTTACGCCAAAATACCACCAACAAGGGATTTACGTCAAAAGAGGGCCACCAACAAGGGGTTTACGCCAAAAGACCACCAATAAAGGATTTACGTCGAAGGAAGGCCACCAACAAAGGGTTTATGCTAAAAGAGGGCCACTAAAAAGGAGTTTACGCCAAAATACCACCAACAAGGGATTTACGTTGAAAGAGGGCCACCAACAAGGGGTTTACGCCAAATGAGGGCCACCAACAAATGGTTTACGCCAAAAGACCACCAACAAGGAATTTACTTCGAAAGGTCACCAACAAGGGATTTACGTCGAAAGAGGGCCACCAAGAAGGGGTTTACGCCAAAAGAGGGCCACCAACAAGGGGTTTACACCAGAAGAGGGCCACCAACAAGGGATTTACGCCAAAAGACCACTAAAAAGTGATTTACGTTGAAAGAGGGCCACCAACAAGGGGTTTACGCCAAAAAACCACCAACAAACGATTTACGTCGAAAGACCACCAACAAGGGATTTACGTCGAAAGAGAGCCACCAACATGAGGTTTACGCCAAAAGAGGGCCATCAACAAGGGGTTTATGCCAAAAAAAAGGGTCACCAACAAGTGGTTTACGCCAAAAGACCACCAACAAAGAATTTACATCGAAAGAGGGCCACCAACAAGGGGTTTACGCCAAAATTTAAGGTTTCAATATTAATTTAACTTATTATAATTTATAAATACATATTTTCAAATTTATTTATATTAGTGGTTTTTTATTTATTTTATTTTGCATCGTTCCATGTTCATTGCAAGACTGAATTAACATTTAATTTGACATCCTTAAATTAATCACATCATATGGCAAAAAGAAATCTTCATTGATCCTCCAAAATCTTATATATCGGGATGCAATCCAATCGTAAAATGATCTTGATCGAAACAAATTATAGACTTTTAATGCCATGTCCATCCTTCTGACCTCTCGGAGTTATGTAGAAACTAGCCTCTCCTACAAAGATATGTTCCGGAACAAAAGTCCCCCTCACATACACTTTGAGGCGTGTCTGTTTCATAATTCCAAGGGTCGAAGTCCCTCGAGTTCTGGATCAGGCTGATATCCAAATGGTACTTTACTGTCATCCATTTTTTTGAAAGTAATTGATATTCTTTTTTGCGAAACCTCTGGTACACAATGATTTGCCAAATCTGCTCCATTTTCTTTGAGAACCAGGACCGAGCCAACAGGAAGAGGAATTTCCACCGCTCCAAGAAATTCAGCTGGACCAACCACCCGTATTTCTTTCCCAAACATTATATTGCATTTGCTGACGAGAGACACAGTGCAAAAGGGTCTCACGAAATCGTGGTTATCAATATGGGGTGGTATACAATTTCCTTCTTCATAAATATTGATTATGCAGCTGTTTGGTACACTATTTGTTGATAAAATACGCCATTCTACAATCTTTTTTATCATTCTTTTCATAAGCGATGGTAATTGATCAACTTCATCATGACGAATAATCCCCGGGGGATTCCTTCTTTTATCATATACATAATTATAGCAACATCCGAACTGAATTGTGATCTTGCTCTTGCCTTTCATCGACTTTCGGGGCTCTGAATAGGTTTTTTTCTTCAACAGACCTTCCCGACCTCTTTCTCTGAGATCAAAAATATATTTCACCATCCTTTTCTGTTCATTTTCGGAAAAGACGTCAGTATGCAATTCCAATCGTGGTGCAACAAGCGTCTTTTCCAAGTGGAATCGAAGTTCCAGACTCACTCGTGTGGTCCTTTTCGTCGTCCGGGGCCATCTGAACTAGTTTGCTGATGATCGGGTCAATTCGAGTCAATTTTATGCGCGGCGCGACGAATAATATTTTGTTGATCCGATCGGAGTCGTCCGATATGCCAAATGCTGACCGGACTTCACCCAAATGAAAGTCAAAGCCTAGCAAAATGACCCCGGTTACGTGCCCCTCAACACGTGTCGGTGGGTCCAAAGTGGACGTCTCGCGCTACAGGAGTCAACATGTCATCAAGCAACGCTCCTTAGTGCTCAAACGGACATCCTACGCATGCGACATCAAAAAAATTAATGCCAACACCATGCGGCCAGTTGAACGATTGACCATGGAATTATAAGTGAATTCAACTTGTCTTAGCTTTTTATCCCATCTCTTAGGTTATTTTTTTGCTAGACATCTAATCAAGTTTGCTAGTGTGCGGTTGGCAACTTCTATTTGACCATCAGTTTTGGGTTGATATGCTGAGCTCAGTTTGAGATCTGTCTGAAATTGCTTTCAAAGCTCACACACAAAATGACTTACAAAGTTGACATCTCGATCGGATATCAAACATTTAGGAATGTCATGTAATCTTACAATATCTTTAAAGAAAATTGGAGCAACATTAACAACTTCAAATGTCTTCTTGCTTGAGATAAGATTTGACATTTTTGAGAAACAATCCACCACCACTATAATAGAATCAACTCCACGTTTTGTTTTAGGTAGACCCAATATTAAATCAAGACTCAAGTCTTCCCAAATAGAATTTGGAATAGGTATTGGGGTGTATAAACTTGTATTTTCTGAGCTTCATAGTGGCAACGTTCTACGAACCTCGTGAAATCCTGTCATAGTTTAGGCCAAAAGAAGCGAGCTTGTAACAAGGACAATGTCTTATCTTGACCCACATGCACTGCTATGACATTGCTGTGAAGCTCCCTTATGAGTTGTGTGCTCAATGAAGTGTTCGGGATACATAACCGGTTTCCTTTGAATAAGTATCCTCATTGTAGTAAGTAATCTGAAATGGTTGATGAGCCTTGTACCGTCTCCATGGTTTTGCAAACTTTGGATCGTTTGCATATAAATCTTGGACAGACTCCTTACCCGTAATGGATATTTGTAATGATGCTAAAAGACTGGCTCGTCTACTTAGAGCATCACCAACTCGATTAGTTGCTCCCGATTTATGGGTTAACACAAAACTGAACTTTTGTAGAAATAAAACCCATCACATATGCAATCGAGTCTTTCTTTTTTTTTTTTTTTTTTTTTTTGTAGGAATTGCAGGGATCGATGATAACTAAATAGATCAAATTCTTGGTGGAGAAGATAGTGCTCCCAATGTTTTAATGCTCGTATAATAACATATAATTCTTATTCATATGTTGACCATTTATGTTGGGGGGAGTACTTAATTTTTCACTAAAAAATTTGACAGGTTTACCCTCTTAGGATAACAGTGCACCGATCCCGATGACTGAAGCATCCACCTCTACTTGGAATGGTTTGCTGAAGTCTGGAATGCTCAACACTGGTGCGGTACTCAATTGTTCTTTGATGGTTCTTTTTTTGAGTGCATCTGTAACAAGTCCCATAATTATACTAAAATCTTTTATGAATCTTCTGTAAAAGTTTGTGAGACCATGGAAACTTCAAATTTCAGAAACAATTGTAGGATTCGGCCAACCTCGAATGGCTCAACCTTTCTTGGGCCGGTATGAACTCCAGAAGCATCGTTGATGTAGCCTGAGGAGTGTACCTTTGAAATAGCTAGTTCACACATGGATTTGTTGAGGAACAAATTTTACTCTCGTATGATCGAGAGTATCGCAACAAGATGTGTGATATGTTCAACCAAGGAAGAGCTAAACACTGAATGTCATCAAAATAAATCATGCAAAATTGATCAATGAAGGCTTTCAGTACCTCACTAATGAGCCGCATGAATGTGCTAGGCACGTTGCATAAGCCAAATGGCATCATATGGCATTCATATAAACCTTCTTTTATTTTGAAAGCCATCTTCCATTCATCTCCGTGGCAAATGCAGATTTGATGTTATCCACTTCTTAGGTCCGGTTTGGAGAAAACTGAAGCGCCTGCCAAGCGATCTAGTTGGTTTTCAAACCTTGACATGGGAAAACGATATTTCACAACGATTTTGTTTTTAGTCCGGCTGTCCACGGACATTCGCCAACTCCCATCTTTCTTGAGAGTAAGGAAGGCTGGCTCCGCACAAGGACTTAAACTCGGACGGAAGTAATCCTTGCGTAGGAATTCATCATTGATTTCTTTCAACAGGAATTGTTCTTTCGGGTTCATGCTATAGTACGGCAGGTTGGGAAGAGTTGCACCCGGTATCAAACCGATTTGATGTTGAATAGCACAGACATGTGGGAGCGTATTTGGGAGTTTGACGGGCATTGCATCATCAAATTGCTGCAGCAATTTTATAACTTCATGGGGAGTATCCGGCTTCACAAATTTAGAATTCTCCGAAATATCTTCTTGCATTACAACACAGTTTGATTCTTACATTCAAAAATGAATTGAGATTCCATCAGAGTAATAATAGCTGCTTTCTCACCTCTGTTCTGCTCCTCATGTTGAGTTGAAGGTAGAGTGTTTGGCAGTAAACAAAATTTCTTCTACCTTTCCATCCGAACGTATAAGCATGGCTCTTTCCATCATACCATGCTGTCTTGTCATATTGCCAACGTCCATCTAATATAATATGGCACACATCCATCTCTATGACATCACATTTAACTTCGCACTCGTAATGCTTACGTATGGAGAACGAGACTTTACATGATTCAGTCACAGTCGTTTCCACTCCTTTCTTAACCAAACCAATATTGTATTGATTAGGATGTTTGGTAGTATTCAATTGTAATGCCTTGACCATTCTCTTGGACACAATATTTTCAGTGCAACCACTGTCAATAAGTAGATCACAAACCTTCCCCATTACAGCGCACCTTGTGTGAAAAATTCGATGTCGTTGAGATTCTTTTTCAACTATAGGAGCTAATAACAGTTTTTCCAAGACACCAGAGAGAAAATTACCTTCGTCAGCTACAAGTTCTTTACAATCTTCGGTTGAAGGTAATGATGTATTGATGTCTTCCAATTCTGGTTCACCTTCAATTAATATGGGCTTGGCGATGATTGGGGCAATCGTTGGAACGATGTCCTGGTTGGAAACATCGAAATCATTTAGATAAACCTGGCTTATGGTAAATTTTATTTCTCGTATGGTTTGGCTTGGCTTGGCCTCTTACTTCAGCGACTGTTGGGCTTCTGAATGGTTGGATCTGAAGGGAGCTTCTTTTAGCGTTGTTGCTGGAGCTCTGGGGTTGCTCAACAGTTTGTTCTCCAATGGGTCTTTGCCAACTGCGGAATTTCGGTGTCTACGAAAGTTGCAGCTCGGCTTTGTAAGCAAATACGGCGATTAAGGAACGATGGAATGCTGCATCATTCTAAGCTCTCTGAAATGTAATGTGCAACGGATTCAAACTTTTTTATTTATAGAAATGTAAAAAAATGTTTTTTCCATGCATTATTTCTGCCATTTATGGTCATTAAATTACAGTTCTAATCTTTCCATCACGCCGTTCTGTTGATTTTACACTCGCAGTGCTTTGTTATCAACTGCTATTTTGTTTTATTAAGGGGGTGCTTAGAAAGTAATGCAAATAGAACTTGTTTTTGTAAATCGCCAGTCTTATTTCCAACTGCTGCACACACTATTAAGGACCGTTAGAAAAGAGGGAGATTAAGAGATAGAAAGAGAAATAAACAATAAAACTTCTCCATCTATTAGCCTTATCTCATAAAATGATATTTATAGGAGAGAGAGGGTTCAATACATGATATTATATTTTTGTCCATTATTTAATGCGACTGTTATAAAATATTTTATGTATTTTACATGCATGAGCCTGTCGCTCAGCTATCCTATGCCTGAGTCGGTTAGGCTAGCATGACTCTAGCTTTGCAAGGCTTGTTCTGAGTTCAGTTGGCTTGATTGAGTCGGCGTAGCTAGCTAGTTGGATTTGATTAGCTTTGGTTAGACATGATTGACTCACGCGATTACACTTTGCCGATTGGTTGATTTCGTTTAATTGTCGATCATTGATTTTTATATGATGAGCTCCTATCAGTAGATTGAGACTGGACTATTGAGCAGAGAATGAATCACTGTAACTCGATAGATAGTTCATTCCGATCAAACAGTGTGATTTATGTATTTAAATGCCCCAAGAATATATGGAAAAACTTACAAAGATCTTAATTATTATAAATTACAATGTCATTTGTACAAAAAAAAAAATAATAATAAAAATAAAAAACATTTCTTTACCATTTATATTGAATCAACACCGAGCAAACGAAGCCCTGTAACTTTTAACCAACCAATAATATATAAACACATCGTCAACCTAAGATGAAATTTGAAGAAATGCTAAATGTGAATGAATCCTAAGCATTACTGTCGATTTTTTATTATAAATATCAAAATTTTTTTTGCAAAAAAAAAAAAAAAAAAAAAAAAAAAACATTTCTTTACCATCCTAGGAAAAATTCTCAAAATCATTAAAATGAATGATCATTATATAACATAGTTAACAAAATAGAATTATGATGCAAGACTAAAACTGATCAACGCGGAAAAAGTAGAGAAAATGAGAAGAAAAAGAAAAAGTAAAAGCGAAGGAATAGAAATGTAAATCACGCTGAAGAAAGCTTTAATCGTCTTGTCACCATCTCATTTGCTTTTGCCCGCAAAACCCTCCTCCCCCCTGCTCTCTCTCTCTCTCTCTCTCTCTCTCTCTCTCTCTCTCTCTCTCTCTCTCTCTCTCTCTCTCTCTCTCTCTCTCTCTCTCTCTCTCTCTCTCTCTCTCTCTCTCTCTCTCTCTCTCTCTCTCTCTCTCTCTCTCTCATTAAAACAGAAGAGAAGAGAACCGCAAACGATGTCGAGGCTATTGGAGGCGGAGTTGGAGCTGCTACCCTGTTTAGGACAGGTTGATTGGTCGCCGAACCACCGCCGTTCGATCTCCACCATTTCATTGCTCTCCGTCAGGTTCAGAATTGCTCTCGACATGTCTGTAACAAGTGAGGAGCCTTTGGGGAAAACCTGCAGTAGAGTTAAAGGTGAGTTGTGCATTGAAATTAAGAGAAAAGAGGAAGAAGATGTGCAATTTATTGTTAGACTCGCATGTTTCCTTCTCATAATGTATATAAAAACTCAATCTTTGTCCAATAAACAAATAAATAAAATATGGGAGATTAATCCGAATTAATGGACTTACGAATCCAAAACCAGAGGTTTTGTAGAGCTGGGTGCCCATAGTGAAGTTGTCGCAGAAAGACTTGAGAAAAAGCTTGAGGTACGGGATCTCGTCGATGATGGCGGCGACGGTGCCGTTGGAGAGCGCATCCTTGTACTCATCCGGAGACTTCAATCCGAAGAGTTGCGACTCATGGAACCCATTTGTGACCAGAAGCCCTTTGACAAAAGAATGGCGGAGATAGCCGACGTTCCTCCGGTTGTCAATGAGCTCGTGAATGTCAGTTATGCTCGGCTGGACCTGCCTCACGGTCAGCATCGAAGTTAGACTGGCAGTATAGCTTGAAGTGAGTATGAGCACCACAAACACCCAGATTGTTACCACCAGCTTCGATAGATTGCTCATTATGGTCTCCTCTGGGAATAATTCATTGCAGAGTGTAAGAAGAGAATCATAGTTGAAAAAAAAAGGAGAGATTTTGGAGAAAGGAGTAAAATTAGATTAGTACTGTGGGCGAAGACGAGGGTGGAGAAGGAAAAGTAGAAGACGGTGCCGAGCTGGTGGGAGGGAGGGCCGCGGAAGTCTGGATTGATGCGGTGTTCGAGGAACCAGACGATGATTCCGGTGAAGATGAAGAAGAGGGCGCTGACGAGCCAGAGGTCGGTGGTGAGGGGCTTGAGGAAGATCCATGCTCGGTGGTTCCGGACGTCGCGAACGGGGACTAACATGGACACGCCGGAGGCGGTGTAGGGGAAGGTGAAACCGCCGTACTCCGATCGGTTGGCTGTTATCGTTACATCGCCCACCACGCCGTCGTACTCCTGCAAGCCAACCCCGCCCGGCGGACATAAAAACATGAGTTTGCGGAGATGCAACTTTATTTCAATACATTATTAATATTTATAGTATTTACATTTTTACCTTGATGTAAATCAACACAACTTAACAAGAAAAAAAAAAGCTACCCGTGTAGAACAATTTTACATATCACTATCACTTACTTTAGAATATTAAATAGGTAAAGGGGTGTAAATGTAAGAAATAAAAATATAGGTGTTAGATATGTAAAAACATAGAAATTATGAAAAAAGATTGAGAAGAAGCTTAATGCTAGCTGTTAATTTGTCGCATTAGGAGACTTAGAATGGCAAGCCGACCCAATTAAGGATAATGACTTTATTAATTCCCAGACACGAGAGGCTTACGATGGTATGATGACCTAATAATCATTCTGCATATCTATGACTTTTAATTAAAGGAAAAAAAAAAATTTATCTTAATTGTATATGAAAAATATGAAGGAACGAATCTCAAAACAATCCAACGGATATGTTGAAGGATGATTGCCAGAAGATCAAGCGACCGGAAGATCAAGCGACCGGCTAATAACACAACATAATTCTCAGAAGGATACAATGATCAGAGAAGGATGGGCTGATCAGTTATATATGAAGTCATCCAATTGGTCAGCAACCCTGAGGCTAGAAGGTCATCCAAAAGTAGGTCGGACGGACGTTTCACCTTGAGGCATGCCAGATCAAATAGCAACATCACTATCGACGCTATCGATTAATTGCCGAGGTAGCAACCCAAAGGCAAGCGACCGACTAGATTAAGCTATCGCCCGACCTACTGTCATTCAGACAATCTCAATTGTTATTCTATTACATTTATCAGAAGTAAAAGATGAGAGAGCAAATTTATAATTATAATGTTTATGTCTGTCTATAAATAAGAGTTATTTTACGATAAAAATATTAAGTTTTTTTATTCTTCATCACTAAGTTTCTCTTTTAGTTTTGCTCAGCGCTACTCTCTATTCATTGGGTGTGATTCTTAGATATCTTTAAATTCAATAAAGATAATTTTTTAAAAAAATAATTATGATGAAATTACATAAATTTTATATGAATATTGACTTTCATATGAATTGCATGCAAAATTTTTATGTTTTGGGCAAATTTTATATAGATTTAATGAAACTCTATTTAATTTTTAAGTGAGTCAAAATTCTTTTAAAATTCTATCATTAAAATTTCATTTAATTTGTAAGAAATGGCGGCGTTCAAGGCAGAGTTGGCGGTACTGACCTGGTCGAAGACGGCTCTAACCAGCGCGTTGTAGTCGACGGTGTTTCTCCCGCCGTCGTTCGCCATTGACGCGTACTCAAAAGGTAGCGCGTATGGAAGCCGCCGCACAGCAGCCTCAAAAATCTCGATCACATACCCTCCGACATCAAGCTTCCCGGTCTCAGGATCCCTAACCACGCTGAGAAATGAATGGAATCCCGGATCCACAGGCCCCGGCACCAGAAATTTCATCTTCTTGCCGCCCGTCGGTACCTCCCACCCCTTCGGCGGAGCCACCGATTCCCCCGGCCATATCACGGCCCCAAGATCACTCCTATCGGCCGAGTAACCAGCTCCGCTAGAATTCAGATTCTTAGATAATCCCTTCTTCATCGTCCAAAATCCAATTCCCCTGGCCCCTTCCCCGTTTACATTCACGATCTGGAACGCCGATACGTTCAGCTCCCCATCCACCAGTTGGAATCGCCCGCTCATTCCGTCGAACTCTGTTTCTTGAATAGATTTCAGAATCTTCGGCCCTATGTTCGAGCCCCGTATTTTCGAGATCTCTGCAGGAGATGTACTGGATCGATTGCTCGCCGGATTTGAACTCAATATGCGGGGATTGGCGGCTATTACTGTGTTGGCGGCTGTGGCGACCGCCCAGAAGGAATCGTAAGCGTAGTAGATGAATGGGCTGAGGTCGGAGGCGGCGATCTCGGAAGTTAGGGTTCTGTTTTAGGAATTCGACTCGCCAACGATGTTCGAAGTCACGGATGCGGTTTGTTCGGTGGATGAAGGGGCGGACGCCGATGTCGCCCTGCATCGAATTGAGAATGGTGACAGGATTGATGGAACCGAGCTGGCCGGCGACGGCGGAGGTGAGTATCCATGCGTAGTCAGTTTCAGTCATGCCCGCATTCGCGGCCGAGGTGAGGATCCGTGCTGCTAGGGCTGAAGGTGCGTGGAGCACGAATACGCGGGTTTGTAGGGTTTTGAGGCGGTAAAGCTCCATGGATATGCGGTCATCTGATGCGTCGGGTGGAATAGGGCATCGATAGGGGATTTGTGAGTCGCCGGAGGTGGAGAGGGCGTCGATGAGATTGGGAATAAGAGAGTCGCCGAAATCAGAGTCTTCGTAGATGGGAACTAATCGGCGCCAAGAAAACGCGGACGCGAGGGTGGCGATTGCAGGACCCATGGCGGCGTCGGAGGGGGCGGCGCGGATGAAGAATGGGGAGAGGGAGGGGGAGAGGGTGGGGGAGGTAGCGGTGAAGGACATGATGGGAACGCGAGCGCGGGCGCCGAGATTGGTTACAAAATCGGCGGATGAGGAGGTTTCGGGACCGAGAATGGCTGCGACCTGATGGTTAGAGATGAGATCAAGGGCTGCAGAGGCGGCATCGACGGGGTCAGAGTGCGAAGAGTTGCGGGGGAGGAGGAGGAGCTGTGCGGGAGAATCTGGATGGGAGGCATAGAAGTCGGAGTGGGCGAGTGAAAGGGCGACGAGAGAGCCACGGCCGACGGCGGTGGTGAGGTCCATGATTACGCCCACCTTCACCGTCGCCAATGAGTGGGCGGAGGGGATGACGGCGGAGAAGAAGATCGGGAGGAGGGCGAGGAAGGGGACCAGGTTTGTCATTAGTAGCAAGTAGCTCCACTCAGCCATTCGCTACGCTTTTCTTCTCTTCGGTTTAAGGTGGGAGGGACGGAGGGAAAACTGAGACATTTATGTTCTGATTTAGTCAAAGTTACCAATTTTGAGTAACATTTGCAAATGGTTGACTTCTTCCTTAGTCTCGGGCACTTTACATGTAGACCCCCCAAATTTTAATATTTATAACACACCTAAATCTTTTATATTTAATAAAAAATATTATTATTTTAATCTAAGTTAAAATAATGAAATAAATCTTTTGATAAAGTGGCATTGTGTTAAAACAAAAGTCTAGGTGTTAGATATGTGAATACATGATAATTGATTGATATATATGTAAATATTCTTAATAGTTTTTTACCTTTTAATGGGTTTTTACATACATAGCACTTGAAATAGTCATATTTATGCTTGTCACATCTAAACGTTTCTAATTATAAATAAAGCATTTTTCTTATATGAGGGGACCATTGACCTCCAAAGTTTTTGACAAGAACTCATGAGATATTCTTTCTATGTAAATAAAAATGTTTAGATGTGAGATAAATTAATATGACTATCTCATGTGCTATTTATATAAAAACCCTAAATTTGGGGTATGTAATAAATGCTAAATTTATTGAATTTAATTTACTTTGAATATTATAAGAGTTTAGCTTCATTTATCATATGTTACACTGATTAAAATTTGTAATTTATTTTAAATATAATGGCCCGTTTCTTTTACAATAATAAATGGACAACAAACCCTCTAATTAAACTTTTTAATAAATGAATAAAAAAAATTAATTTAAAACAAAAATAATTTAAAAAGATTGCCATCAAATATTTACATATAAATTAAAATGGAGTTAAAAATTACTATAATATAAGCACTTCGTTTAGAAAATTAATCTCAAATCATATTTAAC